AGAGCGGGAGGTAACGGGGGAAAGACTAGACAGCGAGGAGTGACGGTCTGAGAAAACATAGGAACGAAGAGTAAATCCGAACGCGAAATTGCGCCGGATGCATGCAAAGCCATGAGAAGAGTGGCTATGGCGAGGACTAGAACCGCTATCCCACCAAACCCTTTATAGATTTGGGCGAGAAAAGGACAGGGTATAGGGATTCTAAAACAAGGCGAGTCGAACAGTGAGGTAAGATTGAGACAAAAGTTAATAGGCGATGAGCTATTATAGAAGAAAGGTGCGCGGTGATATCGGTCGAGAGGACATGGTGGGGCTGAAATTCGAGATCTCACTCGATCCTTAATGAAATCGAGCAAGGGAAGGAGCTAATCCGAGCTTTTTGTCTAGGGCGAATCCGTTGGTGCAATTAGATTAGTATGAATGTTAATGTAGGAGTGGTTAGGAAAGGAAAGGGGGTGCGTAGAGGAATGGCGGAGGATGGTTGTGATAGGAGAGACAAACATGATATCACACTCGACTCGTAACAGAATCGAGCAAGGAAAAGCGTTGGGTGGGGGTTCTAAGACATTGCGAGTGAAGTAGTGCGATCGAACTCCGTGGTAAGGCTGTGGGTCGGGCGCTCTGGGGTTCACGAGCTGCGCCGAAACAGGAAGATCGAAGAAAGGGGGGAATACTTCCGCGTTTTAGCAGAAGATTCATTCGTTTTGCTCGTCACTTCGACGAGGGTTGCGGCTGACGGGCAGCTGGTTTGGAGAACCTACTTGTAAACCGGTGCGTCGTTCGCCTTGAAAGGCACATCCGAAGAGTCGTGGTTGTTGTGCCATCGGGGTGTGCATGAACCCAACCATAGTGGTGACCACGTTCATTCGTGACTCAGAGTAAGGTGGAGGTAAGTCGTGCCTCACGTAGGCCCTATCCTGTCGTAGGGGCTCGCAAGAGCTATGGCTGGCGCACTCGGCCGGAGCGGCTTGCGAAAGCTCCATTATGTATTCACGACGAGGATTAAGACCAACTCCTGCGTGACGAGGCCGGGAGGGTCCCGCCCCGTTTTGTGTGGAGACGAACCGATGCGCTCGACAACGGCTGATAGTTGGGCCAAGTACTGATGGTTTAACGAACTAACACACGCCAAGGATCAAATGACACTTGGCAAATTCCCTGGAGAGGATGGGTTAAATTCCCTGGAGAGGATGTGTTACCTGTGAAATTCTATACTACATTCTGGTGAGAACTGACCCCTGGTCTACTCAAGATTTTGAATTAGGTCTTGGAAGGCAAAACCTGACCCCAGGCATATCTAAAGATATCCTCTCACTTATGTACAAAAAATGGGAAAAATCAGATATACGAAACTGGAGATCAATTACTTTACTAAATGTATCCTATAAATTATTAGCAAAAACCCTGGCGATCAGGCTAGGCCTGTTCTTACCCAAGTTGGTGAGTCTAGAGCAAGGGGCCTTCATCAAGGGTCATTCCATTTTTGATAATATCATCACAGCTATTAAGCACTAAAAAAAATGAATAAAACCGATATGAACATTATGATACTAGCCCTAGACCTGGAGAAAGCCTATGACAAAGTTGGCTGGTCATTTGTAGAAGTTACACTTAAACACATAAACTTTGGGCCGCAGTTTCTCAGGTGGGTCTTTGCACTCTACACCCACGCGACCGTGGCAATAATGGTCAACGAAAAAATCTCATCTACCTTTAAATTAACCTGCTCCCTCAGACAAGGTTGCCCCCTTGCCCCACTTCTATTTGTGCTCCAAATAGAAGTACTACAAAATAATATTAAATCAAACCCAAAAATCAGGGGTCTATCTATTCTATGAGAGACCGTCAGAGGAAAGGAGGACCACTAGCTGACGATCAACTCACAATCTGTTCTAACTCCACCGAGGACCTAATAGAATTGCAAAATACCCTAGTAACACTCTGACGCATCTGAGGCATCTGTGAACTGGAACAAATCTGTATACATTCTACCGTCAACATATGAATTTAACAGTCTCATGGGGCATGAAAAGGGTACCCGCAGACACAGCGGAGCGCCTCTTAGGTGTCCAAATCTCACTGACAAAGACGGTGCAGATACAATATGCAATCTTGATAGAGAAAGTTGCCGCAAGCATGAACAGACTGGTGAACACCATGTCACTCTCACTATTCGGCAGGGCGCTGGTGGTCACCATCATTTCCTTCTCCCAACTGTGGTTCGGGGGAGGAATCAGAGGCCTGGGAGGTGATGCATACCAGCCTATCTTCGATATCAGAACACTGCAGATTTTTTTTTTTTATATAATTATTTTTAAGCTTCAAATATCATATTATAAAAGCAAGGGGACGAGGCCGGGGACCTCACAATTCAACCCGGAGTTATCCTGGCAGCATCAGCCAGTTTCGCTTACCAGCCAAGCTCGCAGTTTCACCAACTGTGTCTAATACATCAACTTGCTGGAGACCGGGTCCAGCGTCCATTGCAGAAAGCTTTCCAAAAGTTAAACCTGCACAAGAAAAGGGCTGCCGTTGCAGTATTTTTTTTATTTTTTTATTTTTTATTTTTTTATTGGGGTAACTTTGGCGCAGCCACGAAAACAGTTTGTAATTGCACTTCAGACAATCCCGCGAATACAACACACCCCCACGCGACCCCACCGGACCCGAAACGTAGGTCATATACATTCAGCATTACCGGCCCTTTTGCCTCGAGTGCAATTACAAACTCAAACCATGACTGCGCCGTAGTTTTCTCTTTTTTATTTTATTTATTGGGGTGATCACAACTGTCTATGTTCTTCTCTCAACTTCTGTTTGTTTCCCTTCCACTACCTACTCCTAAGACTATCTAGAGGGGACCCCTGCAGGCATAGTTTTCCTTTAGCACTTCTACCAAAATAACTTTAAGCACAGAAGAAAAGGCATGGGAGGGGAGGCCTGCATAAATTCAACAAATCATTATAGAAGCCTCTTTCTGCCTACCCCTCCTTATTGTACCCAAGAATTCCTATTCTTCAGCTCTATTCAGGTTGGGTCAGGAGGCCACATATGGCCCTTCGTATTTTAAACTGAACATGAGCCTATATTTCAACAATCCAGGGGTGTACCAACCGAGCTAGGCCCCGTTGGTGCCCCGACACTATTTTTGCCCGAACCTGGACGTCGAGGGGAACTTCGCGCGACCGGCCTCCAGCACCCTTTCACGGCCGTCCGACTGAGCGAATCGACTCCCCCAAAGTGGAAAGTGAGGCCACGTGACAGAAACGTCGCTTTGGCGACGCAGATTTCACCCCGCCAACAAGAAAAAAAGCGAACCAAACACAGAAGACGCGCCTCGCCACACAACTGACCAAATGTGCGAAACGAAGAATGTATATTCACTAAGAACGCTGGAAGATACTCGAGCCATGGTTTGTGGCGGGGCGCCGCCGTGTATGTATTGTTTTGGGGGGCATTTCTACAAAATCTCCCGCGTGACTACCGACCCGTCCCTCTTTCATCATCGTGCCTCCCGTCGCATGCACCGCAGTCAGCGTCGCAGTTGCCTCGTTCCCACATGTATCACACTTTTTCCGGGGGGTGGACGCACAAACAAAGAGGATCAGATTCAACGCCCGAATTCGGACGTGTTTGTGGAGAGGTGCAGAGAGCTGCGATTGCGCTGCTTCGCTGCATTTCTCCACAAACATGTCCGCTCTGGTTAAACCCAAATTTCTGTCTGCCAGGCCTGCAATTACGATTACGACGCGACTAACAACAACTGCCCGCACTGAACTGAAAGCCTCGCTCCACACACACACACAGACGACTCGCCAGCTACTAAGCCAAATGAAAAAAAACAAGGCCACGCTACTAACGCATTTGGCGTGTAGTATTGGGCGACGCACTCGCTCACTGATCAGAGCGCTTGAGGGACATCTCAACAAGGAGCGAGGCCCCACTTGCCTGGATTCCTCAACCGTGTCTGTAGATTACAACAAGGATTAACGGCCTAGTCAAAATCAATCCGTTAGGTAGGTAGGTCGGACCTGGACCTGGGCCTGACCCACCGGGAAGGGCGAGGTAAGGAGGAGGAGGAGGTTGCCCAGGGGCGAGGTGCAACTATGGCAACGAGGATTGGATGAGGCGCTTGACTCTGGACGCTGTTTACGGGGAGATGCATAAAAAGCAGATCAATTCGCGATTCTCTGCACCTCTGCACATTCACGTCCACAGTCTTTCAAGGGTTAAGGGCCAGATCCCACTAGCCCCTATTATTCATTTCTGACCGTTGATCTTCGTAATCGATGGTAAAAAATGAACAATAGGGGCTAGTGGGATCTGGCCTTAACTCGAGTCCTCTCTACTGGCGGGACCTCGCTCCAGGTAGTCTCACGTTTTTCAATTTCGGCTGGGAGATCATGCAGATCGACGGCCACAATGGAAAACGTGTGCAAGGGGGACCCGAGACCAGGAAGGAACCGGGGGACCGGGGGCCAAGTCCAAGTCCCGCTTGACTGGCGTGTTCATTTTTGGCCGTCGATCTTGTGGTAAACTACGGTTAAAAATGGAGGATCCGCGTAAGTGGGACCTACCGCTGGGCCCGGGTTGTGGGCTGTCTACCCTAGGTAGAGGTGGACTGTCTACGATCGGTGGACCGACCGGTCAGTGGCGAACGACCGTGTTCGACCGGTTTGGGGGGCGGAGTGCATTGGCGGGACTATCAGATCGGCAATTTCAAGTGGTCGACTTCGATACGAAATCAGGCGGCAGGAAAAATATCCGAATCGGAAACGTAATAATGGATGGTCCACTTGGCAATTTTTGATACTTTTTTTTTCGGTGTGAGCGATTGTGACAAGGAAGCGGGAGGGAACGGGGAAAAGAGCAGGAAAGAAAAAGAAAGAAGGCAAGAGAAAGAAAGGTCAGCTCAGTTTCTTTTTTCTTCCGTTCTGTCACGGAAGTGGAGAAAGACGAAGGAGCCGAGGAACGTCAGAAAAGCGAAGCGGTCTGTGGCGTCAGCAAAGTTTATCGTTGTTGGGATGGGCAACCAGCACATGTGTTCGCACGGTCGGTCCGATTTCTTTCTTTCTCTTTTCTTCCTTTATATATTCTCGGTTGATGTCTTGTCGGGTGGTTTCGTCAAAACCAATGGTACTAGATGGGTAAATTGCTGTGCTGAGTACGAGCTGAGCGCATAGGAGCGACAGTGGGTGCCTGGGTAAGTGAGGACACGCACAGCGCAGACACACAGACACACGGAAGCAGACAGAGAAAGAGATCGCGTGCTGTTGAAGGGAGATGACGGCACAGACACACAGATACACACATACACACACACACACACACACACACACACACACACACACAGAGAGAGGCTATCGTACTCGAACTTGCCAGGAAGAGCGAGCGAGAGAGTAGTTTACGGGAGAGAGAAAGTGGAGCCGGTGAAGGAGGTTAGCATCCATTAGGGACAAAGAGAGGACAAGAAAGTGGAATAGACGAAGGAGATGTTTAACACCGAATTCCATTTTTTGCGTTTCGCATGACAAGAACGAGCTGGGAATAAGTGGGTGTCAGCATCACTACACGTCCGTCATCTCTCGAATCCATCCATCGCAGCCCATTTTTTTGCGGTTCTCCTGTGCCTATCTATTTGGTTCCCCGATTCAGCATGTCAGCTCATCCGGCGGAAGAGCCGTGGCTCCTTCTAGCCGCGTCCGTTTTCTATCCATCTGGTCTTCTGCCTGCCTGCGAGCCCGCTCGCATGCATGCGCGTATGCGTTTGTCTTTTTCTATTTCCTCCCGGCGTGCTCCGTCTCTTTTGCCTGTTTTCTTTCTGAACTCCCAATCAGGAATTGTCATGTGTGACGACATCATTAGCAGCTCTCGCTGCAGAACAGAACTTACCCCTCTGTTTGATGCTGACGACATCATTTGCAGCTCTCGCTGCACAACAGAACTACTCCTCTGCTTGATGCTGACGACATCATTTGCAGCTCTCGCTGCACAACAGAACTACTCCTCTGCTTGATGCTTGCCCGGACTAAGGGGAGGTGACATGTCGATACTCTTCTTCCCCTCTCTCTCTCTCTCTCTCTCTCTCGCTCTCTCTCTCTCTCTCTCTCTCTCTCTCTCTCTCTCTCTGTGGCTGGTCATGCGGCTGTTTTCGCATGCACATGAATTCCGGTTGGATCGATGGCCAGTCGTGTTGAGACCTCTCTCTCTCTCTCTCTCTCTCTCTCTCTCTCTCTCTCTCTCTGTGTACCTCCGGCGGAGGGGGAGGTTTATTCTCGCTATTTGGTCATACCTCTAGTTAGTTCTCGTCGTCGTTATTGTTGTCACTTTTTTCTCGTTTGTGCGCGTACACGCGCTGCTGCGCAACAGCACTCGCGGAGGTACCGTCGTCGTTATTATTATTGTTATTATTATTATTATTATAAGTTTTTCCCATTTCCCGTGTGTTGTGTGTTTGTCTCGATGTGTTGGACATACTACTAGCGAGAAAATATGCAACGAGGACACGCCCCGTCCTCCTCTGTGTGGTACATTCTGTAGTGTTGTCTCCGTCTCGTCTCTTTGTCGCGTTGTTTGTGGGCTTGATATGGTTGTGCACACGTGTCGCGTTTCCTCGAGTGATTGGCTCAGTGTCATCCGGCTTCCTCTGGACCTTGGCTATGGTGATAACCGTCTTCCTTGAGCCGCAAGAGGAGGAAGACCATTTCCTCTGGGCTATCGAGGTCATGGGTGTTCCTTGAACCCGTTTCCGCATCCTGGAGTGGGTACGGAGGTTCTGAACCTCAAGAGGAGGAAGGAGCAAGGATGTATGTACTTTCGTTAAAAAAAAAAATGTATTCCAGTTTTACGTCACGATGTTTTGAATGTTTGAATCGATGCTCAGTCGACGAGATGTTGTTAGTTATATATTTGCTTGCATTTGCGAGTTTTTTTCTTTTTTTTTTTTTTTTT